AGTGAGAGTGAGAGAGGCCCTGACCTACATTAACTCTGTGATCTAGAAAGCTACATGCTTATGCTTTTGCTCGGCCGCACATTTTCGCTTTCGGTCTTTGCTGTGGGAAGTGGGGAGGGAGACGAGGAGAAACGAAGACCGATCTGCAAACCGAGCTTTGGCTAGCTTACGCTGCTCTGCTGCGCTCCTCTGTCTTTGGCTACGCTGCTCTGCTGCGCTGCTCTTTCTTACGCTACGCTCCTCTGCTGCGCTCCTCTGTCTTAAGCTGCGCTCCTCTGCTGCGCTCCTCTGTCTTCCGCTACGCTGCTCTGCTGCGCTTCTCTATCTCAAACGAAGTTACCGAAAAGAAATCGCATAGCGAGAGCGTGCCCATAATTTCATCATGTTCTTGGTCATTCGCTCTCGTTTTCGACGAAGCTCCGAGCCGCCCGCGCCGCTGCACTCTTATCTCTGCTTCCAGTCCTCCCCCCCCCTTCCCACTTCTAAAGCGTGTGGTGTGCCGAATTTCATAATTTATTCAGCAGGCGGCTGGCCAATTTGATCGTGTACATAAATGCAAATAATATTCCATTATGACGACCGGAAAGTTTTTCCGTTTTGCTTCACTTCTTAAGTGTTTTTCTTTGATTTCCTCCAATATTTTGCTTAGTTTTTTATGGGAAAATAAACCGCATAAATCCTACCGTTTCAGCTTGTATCTTTAGAGTTTTTAAGAATATTCTCAGCTTCGTTTCCCTGGCAGGCTTGCAGCTGTTCTGTGGGAAAGTTCTCACAATAAAAGAATTTTGTATACCTTTTTTTTATGGTTTTTGGCGATTTTTCGATTTTATTAATTGCTGCAAATTTACTGCAAATTGAATGCATCACAACATTCCCACTCGAATCAATCAAATCTCGAAGAAAAACCATAAAGAGCAAAAAGTCATAAATATTTTGAAAGGAGCCGCTCACAACATCCCCTCTCTCTCTCTCTCTCTCTCTCTCTCTCTCTCTCTCTCTCTCTCTCTCTCTATAAAATGCAGTGTGAATTTAAGGAGAAAAAAAGTGCAATAGGCAACAAAATTTCACACAGTAAAAAACCCAAAATTAACCAAAAGAAAAAGCAAAAAAAAAAGTGCAGAGGGACCAACACCAACCCTCTGGTGGCCCAGCCCGAGAGAGGGAGAGGGAGAGGGAGGGAGAGGCAACCGTAACTGTTCTCGCTGCAGTTTTGAAAACAGTTTAAATTTGATTTGGGTGCGAATTGAAAACGCTGGAGACGGAGGAATAGCATAGCATAACCCTTTTTTCCTTTGGGTCATTGAAGCGTTGCGTCTGTCCGAGCGCTAAATAAATCACTTCTCTTCGATTAATTCCCTTGCTGACATGTGCGCGAGGAGGGTGCACACACACACACACACACGCACACCAACACACACATGTCCCGGCTAAAGGGTTTATTTTCGTAGGGGATCTGAAGAAGGGGTTACGTTACACACACACACACACACATGTACAATGATTATGGTTTATGCAACCGACCGCCACTCATGTCAAATTTTGGCTTTTTGCTCTGCTTTGTAGTGGCATGGAAAATTGTCCATGGGCATAGAGGTCATAAGTTATAAATTAGTGAAGTACTTTAAAGTCCCGGAGAGGGAGGGTTTTTTTTTTTTAAAAAGGGTTTCGTTGCCTTGCGTTTCCCTCCCCGCAACACACCTTTCCACGTCATTGAGTTTGCTTCTTTATTTTTGTTTTTCACTTTTAAGTGCATTGATTAATTTTTATTTTGATAGCTACGAAATCAATATTGTTTGCAAATTTCTTGCAAGCAGTTGGTGTGTGTAATTTGCCGTCGGCCAATTTGCAACGCCCAACGATGCTCCCCCCCCCCTTGATGTGTTGCCACTTAGCCAAAGGGTTCTTCGTGTCGTTTTGAAGGGAATTTATGAAGTGGAAGGGCGCCGGAATCGACTTTAAACTCCGTGAGAAAGATGCCAGGACTCTCCAGTGTGAGATCCTATATGGATCTATGGAGCTCAACTCGTGTTTCATACAAATATTTGAAATAAAGAAAATATTAAATATTCTTTATCAAACAAAAAAAAAAAAATATATATATATACATATATAAATCCTCCAAACATACTAAATTTCAAAATAGTCCCTTTTAATATTCTTTATCAAAAAAAAATAAATATATATATATATAAAAATCCTCTAAATATATTAAATTTAAAAATAGTTCCTTTTAATATTCTTTATAAAAAAAAAATTATAAAAATTCTCCAATTAAATTAAATTTAAAAATATTAAATTCTATTTAAATTCCATTTTTTGAGAATTTATTTTCCTAAAATCAAAATGTTTTCAGTTAAGAAAAATGATCACTTCCAACATTTTCATTGGAATAAAATTCAAAATTACATAATAGTCTTATACCTACTCTAAAGACTGTGAAAACCTTCAATAATATTACCCAAATATTGTCTAGGGCCGACTTCATACATAAAAAATGTTTTAAAAATGCTTTGCGATTCGTATGATTTTTATTTGGGTTTTCGAAAAATCAATTAGAGAGTTCTTTTAACGATTATTGGTGTATTTTTTAAGGAAAGAATTTCGGTTCCGTTTCGGAACACACTTTGAGGTAAGACTGACTAGCCCAATCCTTGTCATACTTGATCTGCCCATTCCACATCTCTCCGGCTGTCAGTTGGAGGTTCTTCGAGGCAGAGAGAACTCGAATCCGATGCGGGGATAAATGTTCCCAGGCTAAGCAGACAGCCATTGACATTCGACTAAGTGGCAGCCATTGACCTATGTCCAAGCACATTTATTGAATTTGTTTTTGTTTGATTTGCATAGGGATATGGTATGGGGATGGGGATGGGATGAGACCGAACCATCCCTCCCCCTCTGTAGAATTTTCCTCACTTTGATCTGTTGGCGGCGCGTGTCCGGAATTGGTCACAGCCTTCAGATGTCGAACGATATCGATATGGAGACGAGCGACAAATCGATTTGCATGGAATCGGGCGGAGAGAAAGGAGAAATTAATAACTTTCGCCCAAAAAGAGTGACATAATTAAGCGATGACCAGTCGACCAGTCGACGAGTAGTCTGACCAGCCCGCCCGACCATTCCATTGTCCTTGATGGCACTCCGGGGTCATAACTCATAATAATGAAGTGTAAATCGCCTACGGGCCCGACCCTGGCCATAATCGGCTTTCGATACAAGACAAAGGTCTGGCCGGTCCGGGCCGGGCTCTGTCACGTGCCTGCCCTCTAATCCGTGTCCGTGTATCCCTCGCTTAGTGAAAGTATCACAGGGTCTCTGCGTGCCCGGCAAATTTGTAACGCTTTGATTTCTCTCCGACCGTCCGCACGTCCTTCCTTCCGAAGTGAAAGGCAATCGCGTAAACTCTGATCCCTTTTTGGTCTCCTTTCTTCTTTATTGTCTTGCCTGGACATTTGCCTGCTACCTACTTGAAGTCACATGCCCTTGATTAAATCCCATGTCCTTGGGTACGAAGCGAGCCATTCTCGTGCCGCCTCTTCCTCTCTCTCTCTCTCTCTCTACCCTGGATTGAGTTGTTGGCTGGGAAAAAGGGTTATTGGAGAGCACTTACACAATTCATGAACCTTCAAATACGTTTAAGATATATTTATTAATTAATTATTTGTTATTATTCTTTTTTTTGCTTGATTTTTGTTTAGAATTAGAAGCTCGCTTTCTCTGCTCCACATCACCCATGGAGCGTAAAGCCTCCCATGGAGCTACCAAAATAGGTGGCACTGATTTAATGGGAGGTCGCTGGTCGGTCGCTGGTCGGTCCTCTGCCTTCTACCTTCTTTCAATTTTGTTAATGACCCAAAAGTGGCGTACAGCAATTTATACCGTCTCTCACACACACACACACACACACACACAAGACAAATAATAGCGCAGCAGGACATTGACAACAACACCCGATCTATGGATAGCCAGAGGAGTGGGTTTGGGCCTGGGTTTGGGCCTGGGTATGGGCCTGGGTTTGAGCCTGGTCATGGGATAAAAACAGAGAAAAACGAGTCTGTCGACTGCCCGGTAATTGACTGCCGTTCGATGGTCGTTCGGTTCGGATAATGAAGCGCAATTGTTGCAGCTCTGGTCAAACAAATTCCCAATGTATCATTAATCATATTCGCCTTCAATCTGTCCGTAGGAATCGAAGGAGTTACCTCTCCGAATGACTTCTTTTCCACTAATTTAAGGTGTTGCCGTACTCTTGTCTGTTCAAATCATTTCATTTCTCAAAGGTTCTTTCTTTTTTTTTTTTTGAAAAAATTCCCCTGCATTCCACCGACCACCTGCGGTTTTGTGGGTGTTGACACACGTTCTTTATTTTTTTGATTTTAGTTTAGGTTTTTCCACTCCTGGCCAAGATTAATGAAACCCATAGTAAATGTCAATACCACAATCTGAAGAAGGCTTTGCCTTTGCCACGGTCTTAAACATCAAACAATTAACTGGCTGGCAAAGCTCTCGCTCTGCCCCTCAGTGTCGGGCACTTTGATATTTGATTTGGCGCTTCCTCGACACAAGCCACTTGTGGGCGGGATATCTGTATCTTTAAGGGAGCTCCGTTTGTGGCCATATTGCGTTTCACTTGTGTCCCACTTTTCTAGAATTTCGCATTCGTAGGCGTTGTTTGTCCGACCCTTTTCCGGCTAGTGGGTGGAAAGTGGGTCAGCAAATGTTGGTTGTGTGCCCGGCCGAGGGTTGTGTGTGTGTGTGTGTGTGTTCTTTCATGGGTTAGTGTACTTTACTGCTAAAATCAATAGACTCGGGCTCGGGCCCGGGCTAGGGCTCTGGCTAACTGTAATTAGCTTTGACTTAAAGTGCATGCCACAAGAAGTTCAGGTTCTGTGAGGGCTTTCACGAGGGGTTAATGGCTTTGCTCAGCTTTTTGCAGTTGAAATGATAGCTCTGTGTGCCGTTGGTGACCCCGATGTATATAAATTTCCTCAAGACAATTTTCTATTTGCCTATTTTGTATTTTTTAGCAGCAAATTTCGATTTACATGGATTCTGAATTGAATTTAGTTAGAGAAGTTTGGTGTGTGGCTTTGAGTGGCTTTTGGTGACCCCGATGGCATTTTAGAGAGTTTTTCGGTGACAATTAAGAGGTTTCCTTCAATCTAGATTGATTTGCCAGACATATTGAACGAGGGAAGATAGCCACCGGCAGACGGTGCCCCCGGCATCGGCATCTCGCAGGGATAGCTCGCATAGCTGAAAGACCAGGCCGGATATAGTGAGGAAATCCTCTACAAAATATACTATAATATCTCACCTCATTTGACTGAGGGGATAGGCTGAGTTGTTGCCCACATCCATGCCCATGCCCATGCCCATGCCCATGCCATAGAGCTGGCTGCACATCTCAGGCGGGACACCGGCACCAGGTCCCGGTACAGGGCCCACGGAGCCGTAGGCCGGACAGGAATCGGCTGGCAAGCCAATGTCTATGCCGTTGGGAAAGTGATTGAAATTATTGCCCTGTGCCGCAAAGGGCTTGTAGTCCGTCGAGTACACCGTTTGGGTCTGCAGAGAATCGTTGAAGGCGCCGCCCGCAGAGAGCCCTTGCGAGCCGTAGTAGGCACTGCTGCTGCTGCTACTGCTGCTGCTGCTGCTGGCTGAATTCATGCCATAGAGGGCTGTGGGCTGCAAGGACGGCATCCCCATCGACATGGCATTGGGGAAGTATTGTGGAGGGCCCATCGAGCTATTGCCGAAGCCCTCCTGAAGGCCCGGATAATATGGCTGAGCTCCCATAGCGCCTGCGGTGGCAAGGCCTGGCGGCATACCTGGCTGGAGATTGTTGAACACCTGTGGATTGGCGTGCTGGGCCTGGGCCTGGGCCTGGGCCAAGGACTGCTGAGCGTTCTGCTCGGCCGTGGCCAAAAACTGCTGAATACTCTGGTTATACTTTTGCACATAATCGTAGGCGGCAGCAGCATCAGGGCCCTGCGAGTTCTGGTCGGCGCCGGGTCCAGCCATGGACGGATGGTAGGCCCCGGGCATTACCGGATAGCTACCCATCGGGGCTGAAGGCTGAGCAGCATTGCCTGACATGCCCGAGTAGCCACTCGGCGAGGCTCCAGCGTTGTTGTAGCTGCTGTTGACCTCGGAATTGCTTGGCGCCTGGCCCGCCGCACCACGTCCTGCCACTGCGTCCTGATCCATGCCCATGGCTGCTGTCGGTGCTGCTGCTGCTGCTGGCAGGGCATACATCCCATTCGCTGAGGCAGGCATGGCGTACATCCCATTCGCTGAGGCTGGCATGGCGTACATCCCACCTGCAGGCCCGCCGTTTCCTGGGCAAAACATGGGCATGCCCATGGGCATGAACGGAAAGGGCGCAAAGGTCATGGGACCCGGCGACGCCAGCTCCTGTCCGGGGCCAATCGGCTCCGGCATTCGACAGCAACAGCAAGAGCCCATGCACGAGCACTGGGCCGAGATGTCCGACTGCTCCTCGCCGCCTGATGTGCCGCACACGCCCGGACGATTGACAATGGTGTCGTCCGATCGCGAGCCGCTTTCGGGCAGTGGCCGGCTGTTGCCTCCGGCCTCGCCGGCCCAGAAGCAGCTCTCGCTCTGCGACATGTAGGAGTCGTTCTCGATCTGTGCACACGAGCTGTTTCTGCAGATGGGATCTAGTTTGGAGGGAATACGATGCGGTTAGGGGCTATCTTTCCCTGCGATACGGATAAGAGGGTCTCACATTCACTGAAGCTATAGCCCTGATGGGCCATGACGGTGCTCTGCTGCTGCTGCTGCTGCCCCTGCCCCGAAGCAATGCGATAATTTAGGCTACAAGTCCGGAGAACTCGATATTACAATACAATGTTGAATACAACAGACAGACAACGAATGTGCCACTTACAAATGCCTACTCGTGCGCTTCGATTTGTCCGAACGTTCCTTCGATGCGTTTGCATACGGACAAGACTGGATCGGTCCTATATTTGCACTATTTTCATTTTCTTCGGCGTCCTTCGGCCTGTATGTCTTGTATTGGTCTTCAAAGCTGTCAATTGATTTCAGTATCTGACGGTTTTCATCGTTTAAGTCGTCCTCGATCTCGTCGCTGCTATCGTCCGAACTGCTGGCCATTGCTGCTCGGAGACCCTCTGCTTCCAAGGTGCTCTAAGATGTTAAAAGTTCTCGTGTCGAAAAATTCCTACCTCATTTTCCAATTTCAAATCAAAGCACACTATAACGTAAATATCAGAGTCTACTCAGTTGTATAAATATTCTTAAAATATAGTAGTAAATATAGCACAAATATGCTTTAAACTCGGAAAAAGAAACTTGGATTTTAGTGTGAAATATACGTAATACATCTAACGGGTAGGTAAAAAATTGTATCTAATCGAAGAATATTTTATTTACGAGTCCCTATGAAATGTATTTATTTTACATCCACTTCTTTTCTTTGTCTCGAATTCGAGCACGAGCCGATATCTGGCTAAGTCTGAATATTTCGCCCATTCGAAAGTGCTGATTGGTTGCGCTTTGGGAAGTGAATATTCCTATTGGTAGATGGTCAGATATCATCGTTCGGAGCAAGAGAAACAGTTCATGATATTGCAATTTTTAATAATAAATATTTTTTTATTTTATTTATTTATTATTATTATTTTTTTTATATATTTATTATTATTATTTTTTTTGTTTTATTCTTTATTTATTATATTATTTTTATTTTATATTTTTATTTATTTATTAATTTTTTTTATTTATGTTTTTTTTTATTATTTATTTTTTTTTTTTTTAATTATTACTTTTTTTTATTTAATTTATATTTGATTATGAAATATTATCACAAATACAATTATGTATTTGTTTGCTGTTACTGTTAGAGCCTATAACGGTCAAAAATATTTTAAATATAAATTCGATTTATTTAATACTCGAATCAAATATTTTCGTATGTGAGTAAAAACATTTTTTTTCTCACAATTTCTCTGTGCAAATTTAGTAAAAAACCATTCGATTATTATGTCTTTTTTCTTTGGCTAAAACTCTACAGTTGCATGCCGTGCAACAACCTGTGCCCCACCGCCCAACATATGCGCTACTAATTTAACTAAATTAACTACAAATATGTTATCATAAACTGTGTCTCTGTCGGGGCAGGCGCTAAAAAGAATTCGTGTACAAAAGGCAGCAGCCTAGCGGACACGCGACCGACCCGACACCCAAGTAAGAGCATTTGCATACCCTATAATTTAGGCCTCGCTTATCGTTGCCAAAAAATCAAGCACGCAAAAAAAAGGAAAAGGACGAGGACGAGGTTCCCCCGAGCGAGCCTTGTGGAAAGTACCCTAATTTCCAGGGTCGCTTATTGTCATGTCACGACAATTAAACAATATTTTTTTTTTGTATGTGTTTCACTGCGCTTTTGAGCGCGATTTAAATTAAGATAGGCGGCAAATTAGCGGCCCGAAAGGTTTGCATAATTATTATTTGACTGGCGCGAACGTATCTGGCGCCGCAGATCGTTTCCTTCCACAGATGTTACACTTTTTTGTTTTTTGTTGTCTGCTGCTGGGGTTAAATGGGTTCTCGGGGGGTGTACGACTACGACCACGACCACGACCCCGATGACTCGCGGTATTTTGCGACCAAGACTCTGATCTGCGGTTAAGCGTAACCCGTTTAACCCTTTTGCTTGGGGAGTGTGCCTGGCGAGGCCTGGCATGACACAACGGGAAAGTGCTCTGTGTTTTTCCCCTTAAAGGTGACATATTGGTTTTCACGATTAAGATCGCTAAATGTTTGCTTTCGCTGGATGGCTGGTTGGATGAATGAATCGTTTGTTCGCCGCCCCAAAGGGTTGTGGGAAAAATATGGTCTTCCTTTTGAAACAAGTAAAAAAGTCCTGTAGTCGGATGTTTTATTTTACAAATTGCACATAAAAATATGTATTTCTGTTCATTTTATACAGGAAATTTTCAATTGTAAAAAACCGAAAATAATAAGATTATAAAATAACCATCGAAAGAAGAAAAAACTTGTTCTTATCGGAATTCTGTGCAAAATATATGCCTTTGATTATTAATACCTCTTTGTAATTATTAATTTAATACTTAATATTATTATTTCAGATAGAAATAAGTTCAGACTAAGCCTGTTAAGGATTCTTTGATTCCGTTGCCGAATAATGAATAAATAAATAATAATATTTTCTATGCCAGAAAATTGCAGCCTGAGTTACAGAAATCTCTCTCTCGAAGGAAAAGAAAGGTCCATTTCATGCCCCTGCTGATTGCTTCAGAAAAACCTCTCCAGACACCTGAAATGCAATATTTAAGCTCCGAATAAAATCCACCAGTACCAGCTCTTCTTTCCCACAATCACAATCAACAAACTATAGGAAAAAATTGATTTTTAGGCCATATTCTGCCTAGAATATATTCAGAAATGTACTCGCCAAATCACCACAAAAGTATTCACTGCCTTTGAATATTTTCAATCACTTTTTGGACTAATTTCAAACTCGCTGCTGAACAAAATATATGACAAATCGCTGAATTTTTTGAATTCCAAGTGCTTTTTCGTGGCAAGATTTCAAGAGGGTCTTTAAATATATTCCATCAAGTTTCCCCAATATTTTACACTTTAAAAAAATGCCAAACTCTCAATGGACACTGAAAATTTAAGTTTTCACGGAATACCTGTAAAAAAGAATTGTTCCCCATTTAATTAAAATAAAATAAATGGTGGAAATTTTTTTTTTTATAAAATTGTATTTAATTTAAGTTTTTTTTCATATAAAAATTGTGGTGTTTAAATGTTAATTTATACATTCGATTAATTTTTTGTATAATGATTTAATTTTCAATGCCAAAAATGGAAATAATAATATTTTGAATTTCGCTAAAATCAATAATAATTTTCAAATATTTTCTTGTTGTTTTGTGTTAATTGTATCAAAATTGCTTAAAAATTCTCTCTTCTCTTTTGTTGTTGTTGTGTTTGTAATTTGTTCTTCCCGGGGGGGGAGGGTTTCCTCAGCTTTTTGGCTTTCTTCTGTTCTCGGCGGTTCTCTCTTGCAAATAGTTTATTGACATTTAGTTTTGTTATATTCATTCATTATTTGTAGTATTTTGTTTTTGTATACATATAAAAATTGTTAAAGTCTGCTTAAGTCTATTTTGTACAATTGATTTGTTGTCCTTTTGTTGTCTGTTGCATCTTTATCTGCTGTTTGGTTCCGTATTGTATGGTAGATCTGTACTCTATAGTTTATAGTTTTCTTCTGTTTGTTGTTGTTTTATATTCGCTATATTTATGGTATTTTGTAAGTAGTTGAAATGCAAAAATTTGACAATAGTTTTTATAGTTGAATACGATATTTGTGTGTGTGTGTGGGGGTGTGTGGGGGGCAGGGGGGGGCCTTATACGAGTATACAATATTCCTTATTTTTTTTTTGTAGACACTGATTAATGATTTATGAGTAATTACTGCTTGGTAAAAAAAAAAAATTGTTTGAGAATTGTTTTTGAACCAAAAGCCCGGAAACCGTTGCCTTAAAATTAATTCCCAAAAATTGAAAACCGAAAATTTGACACCCAAAAAAAGTAACCAACAATCAAATATCACTTTCAGCAAATCGATGACAAATTTTGAATTTTCCTCTCTCTTCCTCTCTCTCTCTTAATTAATTTTCCTTCTCAAAAATAGTTAAAAAAATTTGTATTTTCAAATCTTTTAATTTTTTTGGAAATATCCAATTTTTTCTTTTTCTTTTTTTTTTTTTACAAAACTCCACCATCGTCGCGTGTCCTGTCCAATTCCCAAAAAAAAAAAAAAAATCACAATGCGCTTTGATTGAGCCTGCCGCCACCGAAACTAAAGAGAATCTCGCTTTAGTGTTCCACCGTCCCGTTCTCGTTCCCGTTGCCAGGCGTTCAGTTGCCCTTGCCTGTGGCATCAGTCGCATCCGCCTGGTGCTCCTCCTGCTGCTGCTCCTCCTGGCCGCCACTCCTGATCTCGAAGGAGATCTGAATGACCGTGGGCCGGCGCTGGCTGGAGTTGTAGCTGTAGATTCTGAGGGCATAGCAGAAGATCTGGGCCAGAAGGTCCCAGCAGCCGAACTCGGACATGCTCATGGCTCCCTGCTGCCGGCCCAGAGGCACGGATATGTTGGCACGGAACTGGGGACGTTGCTGTCGCTGCTGACTCGTCTGCGGCTGCTCTGCCTGTTGTCCTGCCTGCTGTTGTCCTGCCTGTTGTCCTGGCTGCTGGGGCACGGCTCCTGTTGAGGCGGCGGCCTGTTGAGCACTTTGCTGATTGCTTCTGGCCAGCAGTTGGGCCTGGTCGGGTATGAAATATGCAATGGCCATTGTTTATTGAATATATTTCGGATTTTTCTCTCTCGCTTCACTTGATGCACTTTTGGTCTGTTTTTGTTTTGTTGTTTCCAAAAAAAAAATATGTATATATAGAAGTGTCACATTTGGCGGGAAAACTTGTACGCTTTTCGACGAAACTTTCTGCTCGTGGAAATTCGCTTCCGGGTGCACTGGGCTGTTGCCTTGTCGAGGGTTTAGCGTGGACTGAATGTCGACATCCTGACGGCACTCGCATTTATAAAATAGCTGAGCTGCGGCTCGCTCCTTGCCCGCCCTCTGTGCAGCGCGCGCGCTCTCTCTCTCTCTGTCGCTCTGTCGCTCTCTGTGGCAAATGGTAAATGTCACCCACCCCCCGGGCGCATTGTTTATGCCAACAGCCAACCAATTGAACCACCAACCACAGACCCTCACACCACCAGCGGGCCCAACCACCCCGACACCCAGACAGTCGGCCTGCCCGCCACCCCAAAGCGGAAAGTCGCGTTACCTTTGCTCTGTCGCGGCGGAGAGGAGAGCGGGCGGGCAGCGGGGGGCACCTAGGAAGCGAGAGAGCGCTGAGAGAGAGAGAGAGCCTTACGTCAAACGTAACGTAAGGCTGAGCAACGCCTGCGTGAAGTCCAAAGTCGAACTCGAAAGAGGGGTTTACTGCGGGCGCACTCTGGCGGGGAAGTTCGAAATTCGAGTCGCTTGCTTGAATCAACAATTGTTTGGAAGTTCCTAGCTTTACTGTTGATATTTCTTTGAAATATACGAGTATCCGTGTTCAGTTTCCTTAGTCAAACCTTTAAGACAGGCCTTTTTGTGCTCTAGAACTCATTCTCTCTCTCTCTTTCACATTTTTCGACGTACAGTGTGCGGAAAAGAAGGAGAGCCGCGGCCCTTGCCGCTACGATTTTAATCTGGAATACTTTCTTCAATAAATACTGCTGCAGAACCTCCTTCAACCCAGAATTCCCTTCGAGAGCCAAACCTCCTTCAACTTCAACCTTTTCCAAAGAGGGAGCCCCAATGCTTAAGCAATGCATTTCCCAAGTCCAAGCCCAACCCAAGTCCAGGCCCAACCTTCAACTTGACCCACCCCAAGGGATACCCTAATGGGGTTGACCTTCAAACTAAATCAGAATCAGAATCAGCTCCAGCTGCGACCTTGGAGTGTGTTTGGTGTCTCCCCCAAGTGGCTCTGAGAACTGCAGCTCATCCATTAGGATAAGCATTTCCTGGATAGTTTTTGCCACAGAGGCAGGGGTGTAGCTAACCGAAGGGGGGGCCCAACCAAGGGGCAGACCATTGTATCTATAGGAGCTGTAGATGGGACGCGTATTATTCTCCCTTGGACCCCCTAGACCTCCTTAGACCTCCCTAGACCTCCCTAGACCTCCCTAGACCTCCCTAGACCCCCCTTGGAAGCTACACCCCTGGCGGATCCCTGGGTCCCCTACATAAATGCCATTCAAGTTGTTACATTTTAGAAAAAGATTCCGAGGGAGCAGAACCGAAATGCCAATCGAGCCCCATCCGCCACCCCCAACGAGTTTTTCCACTTCCTTGTTGCTAGGGGCATCGTCGCTTCAAGGCCATGGCCAAGGCCGTGTGTGCTCCTACCCGGGCAAAGCTTTGCCAAGGCCATGCCGGCCGGCATTCCCTGCTTCTTGCGGGTCTTGTGGGTGGGTGGGTGGCTTTTTGTGCGTGCGACCTTGACAATGGAATTCGTTTAGGGAGCAGCGGCAACAGTCTCCTCCTCGGCAATGGGGGCGGAACTTGACACAGTTGACAGCACGTGCTCGTTATGTCCCAGGCAGAGCTTTAGTCAAGGTCGTTGGCTATCGATTTGGCCAACGGGGAGGCATGCGGCGTGCGTGCCATGATTGTTGTGCCAGCAAATGAGGTGGAAAGTCTTTGGAAATCGAAATTTAAGAAGATATTTATTAAGGGATAAGATAGGGATAGGCTAAAGCATACACCTAGATATCTTTCGTCTCTGACAAAAGCATCCTCTGGCTCTCGGGCATCGCTGCCTTGAGCTCTGCTGAGTCGGTCCCCAGAATCTAGAAGTCTACGAAAGCTTCCAATTTTCATTATATTTTCGATACTACGGAATGAAATGGTAGACCCAAACACCTACCCACCAGAAGGGGGGGGCTCCACCTTTCCACACCTGCCCCCGTTCAGCCCGTCCCCCCGTTCTCCCCGTTCTCCTCGTTTCCTAAGCGAATTTACTCTACCATTTTCCGCAATTAAACACAAACAACTTGGCTTCCTAATGCTAAAAGCTGGTGGCGTCTTCCGCCATTCTCATTCCCCCCTCTCTCCACCCCCCTGAATAAAATCCACACCGTCTAATTAAACAAAAGCAGCGAAAAGTCGAGGTGTAACCACCATAAATGAACATTAACTTGAAAATAATAAAACTGAAGTAGGAAGGAGGAGGATGGAGGAAGGAGGAAGGTGGAAGGTGGAAAAGGAGTACCAGAAGGAAGGACTCCCTGAAACCCGTTGCTTTAGCTCAAATTTCATGGCATAATAAATGGCTCGCAGACCGATGCAGGGAGAAAGTTTTCCCTCGCTCGCTTTTCCTCTTCTGCCGAGTGATGGAGTAATGAAAGCGCTGAAAGAAAAATTACAATTCACGAGCGTAGCGCAGTTATGAACTTTTCCACGGTGCTAAATAATGCACACGAAAGTGCTCCAGCCAGTCGGGTGGGGGGGGAGGGGCCACCCTATATACCTGCTCTTCATTAACTCGCAGTGCCAGATGATGATGATGAATTTTGTATAAAATGCTTAAATACCTGCAATTTAACTTTTGTTACGTGTCGTCCAACTCCCCAAGGTCCCTACCACAGGCCCCCCGCCCCCCCAGTCGAGAGGGACATTTCAATATGCAGCTCCGCGTGTTTCTTTTAATTTAAATTGACTTCTCTGGGGTACGTCTCGGGGCCGGGAAAGTCGTCCCAGTGGGTATCTTTCGGGTCAGAAACTAATCAAAAAGCTATAAAAAGTTTTCCCCTTACCGGCCAAGACACTGTGGGGGTATATTTTTGGCAGAACTAGGGGAAGGGTGGATCTGGGTTCCCTTGATTTGAGATTGATGGCTAAAGGCAGCGTGGAGGCAATTAGATCTATTGGAAGGCTTGGGAATGGAACGATTGCATCAAGGAGAACATTTTCGATGTCTTCTCATATTTTTGAATATTTCCAGGAGCGTTTCTGGCTAAGACTGTGAAGGTGGGTCTATATATTGATGGGAATACCTGGGATCAGCTGGAGACTTATTGGTAGAGACAATTAGATCAATTGGAATGCTTGGGAATGGAACGATTGCATCAAGGAGAACATTTTCGATGTCTTCTCATATTTTTGAATATTTCCAGGAGCGTTTCTGGCTAAGACTGTGAAGGTGGGTCTATATATTGATGGGAATACCTGGGATCAGCTGGAGACTTATTGGTAGAGACAATTAGATCAATTGGAATGCTTAGGAATGGAAGGATTGCATCAAAGAGAACATTTTCGATGTCTTCTCTCTTGGTTTAAGATTTCCAGGAGCGTTTCTGGCTAAGACTGTGAAGGTAGCTTTATATTTTGATGGGAATACCTGGGATCAGCTGGAGACTTATTGGTAGAGACAATTAGATCAATTGGAATGCTTGGGAATGGAACGCTTGCATCAAAGGGCACATTTTGGATGTCTTCTGCGATTCTGCGAAGGCCTCGGGGGTTTACCTGGCCTGGGATTACCTCGAATCAGTTGATTAGAGACTTATGGGCAATGGGTAAGGGGAAAGCAGATCAATTCTAAGGCTTGGGAATGCAATGCCAACACCTGAGACATCTTAGGCCCTCATTCTGTTTGTTAAATTAAATTATTGCAAGAGAAACGATGACCAATTAGTCGAAAATTGAAACTAAAGTAAATAACTGTCTTCTGCCTGGATAAACCCTACTAATTCTCTCATCCATCATCCAATCAAAGCCATTTTTGCATTAACTGTAACTGTACTTCCAGCGGAAGGAAATCTTTCGCAATGATCCAACAACAGAGTGCCGGTCTTTAAGGTTAATGTGATTTGTGCGAGAGAAAGAGAGCTGCACTTTACAGGCACTGTCATTGCAATGGTTGCTGCATACACATAATTAATTAAGGACCTGACATATACCGCCCCGGGGCCACCCCAGCCCCTGCACAGTTTTCTTCGCTCAGTCATCACTCTTGTGTCCTTACGTACTCCGGACTCCAGCCGCTCCATCCGCTCCATCCGCTGCCCATTTGACTAACAGAAATGTCAAAAATGCAAGTGACAAGTGTGAAAAAAGGACGAGCAGAAGAAAAACAAAAGCCAAAGGAGGACACGACACATGCGGAGGGTTGGGCTTTGAATGGGGGGTGGGTGGGGGGTTGTGTGGGGGTGGGGGGGGGGGGCTTTGGCAGCGGCATTGTCTGCCTGAAGACGCTGCGCGTTCGTGCAGAGCAAAATAAATTGAAATTTTAAAATGTATGAAATTAATTTTTGGCGTCCCCAACGCCCGACTCGTGCTGATGATATCACATGATTATTTATCTTTCACGCGCACTTAGCCACATATGCAAAGGATGTGCGTGCCCGGGTCTGGGCCCTGGTCTGGGCCTGACACTTGCCAACACACACTTTGTCAACGTTTTTAGTATGTTGTCAGCTTTCTCTCTCTCCCCCCTCTCTCCCTTCTATGCTTTTTTGTCTTAGCCCTTTTAAGCCATTTGTCAAACACTTTGCCTGACGTCATGGCTGGGTGTTCCCGGACAGAGATCTTCCAAGGTATTTACCACTTCGATTTCGGTTACTGCGAAACTGTTGGGCTGCAAAATTTACATATAGATTAGCAAAAGCAGAGGAGAGGACAGTGCCGGCACTTGATGTAAGCCTTGAATGCACTTTGGCCAGCGGCACAGGCCCACTTTTGGTGGAGAGGGACTGCTGATGATGATGTCTGCGATGCATAAGTGGAAATCATTAAGTGGCCCAGGCGCATCTTGTAAACTGGTGCGTAA